TCAATTTTAAGTCCTTTTCTCCCCTTCTGTTCAGATTTGTATGTAAACGAAGATCAGAATGGAGGTTAACATTTTGTCTTGAGTGGCCTGTAGATTTCATCCTTGTAGGGCTTTAAGTAAGTTAAACTGCACTCCTCTAGAAGGGCAGAGGTCTGCTGGCATTTAAAATGAGGATGTGTGTGGGTAGTGTCGGGTTGTTCAAGGGCCACAGGTCCTCCCATCAGTCTAAATTCTGTGGCAGAAGAGAACACCACATGTCGTATGGCTTCAGCCACATGCACCCAAGTTACTTTTCCAGATTTTCTTTTGTTGTTGTTTCTTTTTTTTTTTTTTTTGCATTTAAAAAAAAAAAAAAAGTATTCAGTATATGATTATCAGTGGTGCAATATGCCTTCTTTTTTTTTCCTAGGTGTTAAAACACGATTATTTCAGCACTATTCCTTGTACCTCCTTGCCTGAGCAGTAAAGGATAGAAATCCAGAACCCACATCCCTTAGCTAAGTACGTTCTGTGCTTGATAACCAGGTCATTATGATTTTTTCTTTTCATTTGGCTAAGAAGTTAAGCATCATTTCTTAAAGGAACAAAATAAGTGCTGTATTCAAAATTTAGTTTCTTTTTTAATTGCAGCAGGTTTTCAATGGTAATTTTAGAGTTTTGCTAGATTAATTTTTATTTAAAGAAGTCTGCTGTGCTATACTTTTATTATTTAAAGTAAATAAAAGTAAATGTAAAGTAAATAACACTTCCAATAAGGGCATGTTTCTTCCATTTTTCTTAATATTCATTTTAAAGTCTGAACCTGAGCACGCAGAGCTAACTCTCTTAAATAAACTGACTTGTTTGAGCTTTCATTTACCAAAAACAATGCAACTTAAGCAAAAAGCAGCTTCAACTTTAAGAAGATGCAATTTCAGCTAAATCGTGTAGGTTATCATTGCAAATACTCTCTCGGTATGCATTCAATAAAGATGTTAATAAAGAAGACAAGGAAAAGCAATTGTTTACTGCTTTTCCTCCTCCATTAAGATTTAAGAGACTCTAACACAAATTGCCTTTACTTCTGAAATACAATTTCATGGAATGAAGTTTAAAAAAAAACCCTGGAAGTTAAAAGTGCAGATTCTTGGTGTGCAAGGTTTTAAAACCGAATAAAATGCATCGAGGTAACTCTGGTCTTGATCCACCAGTTTAGTAGAATTGCTTTGGACTGTAAAGCTGATTTATTAAGTGCCCCATATGTAGGATTTCCCTCCTGGTTGATTGTTTTTTATTTCTAAAGTGTAATAAATACAATAGAGAGACTTCAGAATTTTATGCTAAAACATCACACCTGTGTATGTGTGCTACATACCAGGGCATCCCTGCTCTCCTTCTGCATCAAATGTGAAACATAACAAGTTAGCTCAATTTAGATAAGATAAATCTAATTTTCTGGCAATAGGAACAGTTAAAAACATGCTCATGGACACTTATCAATGCCATTTTTCCTGTTGTAATAAATGAGATCTGCTGTGCTCCCTGCTGCACTTGTTCTGGTTATAGACAAGTCCTGAGGCCAAGAAATGAAAAGTTAAAATTATCCTAGCTAGAAAAAGAAAAAAAAAAAGTTACTTTGTTTGAGAATTCCTCAGTAAAAGTTCTGTGCTTAAATATGCTGCCAACAAATTGAATCACAATAAATAAACCCAGTGAGTAAACAAAATACGTTTTAAAATACATTTTTCTTTGAAGTCAGGGATCCAGTAATTGCTCATTTACATGATGATTTGTCAAATCACAGAATATAAAATAGAGTGCATTCTAGAATACAAGTCTTATTATTTAGAGACTATTGTACTTGAATTACTCAACACATTTGTTAATTTTACAACTGATTTATAAACGCAATTAAATTCTGACCTGAATTCTGAGCCACCCAGCTCATTGTGATTTCCATTTAGATTCCAATACAGGAAATACCTCACTTTCATGGCTCTGTGGCTTTGGGTTTCTGGTATTCTGCATCATAACACCGTGCCATGCGCTGGGAGTTACAGTGTTCGTGCTGCTGTTCCAGGCACCTGTCCCTGCACATCTCGGAAGCCATGGGATCTGCCCCGTCCCTGTTGGGCGATCTCTTACTGCCTTGCAGTGGGGATAGGAGTCTGCTTCCCTAGATGTACCAGGCTTTTCAGTTTTGACTCGCTCTCAGTAACTCTCTTTCGCTCCTATTTTATTTGATCCATTAGTCTCAATTTCAATTAGATTGTATTATACTGCGTTATCTTGCATTCCCACATCCTAGTTAGTAAAACAAGCTTTCCTCCATAGATTGTTGCTGCTGCCTGCTTTCCTTCCCTGAGCTCAGCTCCCATCTGCCTATCCCTTCTCCCTGTTAAGTTAAAAGAACCTGGCTGCAGGTGTATCCTTCTCAAGGAGCTGCTGGAGCAGACGGCCAGGCTGCTGCAAGAAATCAGCAGCCTGAGGAGCGCATGGGCATATCTGAGGGAGACAGATAGGAGGAGGTGTGAGCCTACTTCCACTGCAGAATCGCAGCCTTATGCAATGTCCCTGCAAGTGGCAGTAGCCCATCCAGCTGCTTACCTTCAGGTCAGGGATCTAGACAGCCCATGAGAGGAAAGGCGTTGGACCCTCATCTCTGCTCAAAGCAGAGGAAAGCATCTGCCCCCAAGCCCCCACTGCATTGCCAACCCCTGCAATGTCCCCCTCAGTGTCCCTGAGTAGCAGATTCGAGGCCCTCTCCCCACAGGAGAGGGATAGCAAAGAGTAGTCCAAACTCATGCCCTGAGAAGCACACTGAGAGTACAGGGAGTAACAGGCAGAGGGAGCGGGGCCCGTCAGGCACTGCATCAATACCAGTGCCACCAAAAATGGGCGGAGAGTCTTGGTAACTGGGGACTCCTTGCTGGGGAGCACTGAGGCTCCCAGTTGCCACCTGGATAATCGCTCCAGTGAGGCGTGATCTCTTCCAGGGGCACGTGTTAGAGGCATCGGGAAGGTTCGTCTGTGGCTCATTAAGGCACAAGACTGCTCTCCTACTGTCACTCAGGCTGGGACCCAGGATGCTGCAATGAGGAAACTAAATAATTATTTAAAAGGACTTTGCATCCCTTGGAAAGATGCTGAAGGGATCAGGGGTGCGGGCAGAGTTCTCCAGCGTTAAATGGGGAGGTTGGTGGCCCTGCGTGTGGCAGGGGGGTGGGGATTCATGATCCTTGAGGTCCTTTCCAACCCTGGGCCATTCTGTGATTCTGTGATTGATTACCAGGTCTTTATACTAGGTCCAAAGGGGGAAGGGATGGGAGACAGATGTGACAGAGAAGGGCTGAGGGAACGTTACAGCTGTTGGAGTTCGTAGGTAAAAACCTCCAGGTTGTCCCATTCAGACAGAGCTACCCCATGAATCACAAGGGTCAGAGGTGTCTCATTCAGACCGACACACCCTATGAAGCAAAATGGTCAGCTTGTCACAACGGTCTTCTGATCTAGGCCAGTTTCCTCCTAGCGTTTTGAACATTTCGACATTGTTTCTACTAGGACAGAGCAGACATCAGTTACTTGGACACACACTTCAGAAGAATTTGAAATTCTCTCTCTAAAAGGGAGAGCCTTCTGAAGAAAAAGCAAGTTTTCTTAGAATGCAGTGTTTCTGTTTTGTTATTGTACATTTTTCAAGCTAAATAAAGCACTCACCTTGCTTCACATTTTTGTTTACTTCAATTTGCTTGTGCTTTATGTCCCACGGTGCCACAACTACTGCATTTCAGGGGGAAGATGATACCTCCCATTCCTTACCTGCAAGAACTCTGTCTCATTACACTGCTTTATTCTGCACTGTCAGTTCCAGACAGCATTGAACTTTGGTTTTCTGATCTCAATCTGCTTCCCTGCCAGTTTTTATTATGAACACACTGCCAACACTGCCCAGCCTGCCACGCTGGAACGATGCTGCAGCCTTCGCATCTTGTGAACGTGACTGATGTGGCAGCTGTTATAGATCTGTGCATGCCGGGGAGAATAGCTGTCTTTTCCATACATGCTAATACTTTCTATCATCTCCTTATCAATTTCCAGAAGCTAACAGGGCATACGCACAAGCAAAACGTAAGGCAAACAGGCTTTTACTTATGGCTTTGTGCTTACCTGTTCTTAAACACTTCCCTGCTCATATATCTCACAAATCTGTTTCAACCTGTAAAATATTCTTAGAAGCATTAAAATTTCTGTTTTGTCACAAGTAAAACACCCAAATACAGAGCGTCATTAGGTTGTGTTCACAATCTAAGATAACCACTTACAGGCCAATTTTGATATTGAATTTGAAGTCTGAACTTCCCCCTTCATTTTTCAAATGCAATTTTATTATTTGCAAAATAATACAAAGGGTACTAACAAAGTTTCCAAATTCTGCCCTAAAAACAACCCTTTGAGGAAGTATATTTAGTGTCACCTTTTCAAATAAAATTTCAAAAAGTGTCAGCTCACGCTGTACATAAAGAGGCACAGTAATTGTTTCATACCCGCATCTGCTGCCACTTACACAAGAAAGTTTTAATATTAAGAACAATAAAAAAATAAAGCAGATTTTGGAAGAATATAAAGATTAACAAAACATCCAGTTTTATTTCTCACACAGCTCAGCAGCTTTAGAAATCAAGTAAGAATTCATACACAGCAAACGTTTTTCTTCTTTATCACGTGAACGTTGTATTGCTGGGTCCAGCCAACTCCACTGGGTTTGACCATACCAAAACATCTGCATTGAAAGAAGTCTGCAAGATTCTGGAAGCATCCAAGACTGAAAAATGAGAAATACTCATTAATAAACCTACAAAAGACAACAGCAGGCATTAACAATACGTGATCCCTAGGGAAGCAGTAGCTAAGGGATAAAGCTGTTGGCAAAGACAGCTCTAAGAGAAGAAACACAACAATGTTCTATTCATCATTACTCCTTTGTTGACATTTTTTAACCTGCGTCACATGTAATAGGGATAGAAGATCAACTCAAATATTTGCAGTTAACGCTAAGGAAGATTTCATCTGCTAGCACATGAGGAAATAAAGATTTTCAGTATAACAGGGAAACTTTGGTAGTAATTTCTTTATGAAGCTAAAAGAATTCAGAAAGGGCTGGTTCGTAACAAAGTTCCCCCCCTAGATCTAAAGAACAGACACAGAGAATGATGAATACACTCAAGGACATTGTCCTCCCTGCCTCTCTCCTCCTCTTGGCATAGCTCAGTACAGGCGTGACCAGCGTGCCCACAGATGGCTCAGGTTTGGCATTCGTGCAGCAGTGAAGCAGGCCAGAACTGAAGGGAAACACAGCTGAAACACCGCACACTACAGCACTTACTTGTATGGATTTCTCCTGAGTGAAACAGGATGCTTAGAAGATTTGCTCTCCATCAGGAGGTTCATTCTCTCATGTGAGGTCAGTCCCAAGAATGCAGTCTTAGAGAAAGAAAAACACGAGTAACGGCTGAAATACGAACATGACAAATTTAAATACTGGCAATACCAAAAGATAATCTTTAATGGGGAGGGATTGGGAAGACGTTGGCCATATCTAACCACTAAGTAACTCCTGCCACATTTAGGGACTTAAAAGTTGATCTTAAGTTTCACTTAAGCCAAAAGAGAATCCTAAGCCATGTTAAACAGCTGTTTCTTAGGTGGTTCAGAAAGCTCTTAACCGCATTTGCTTCGCCAACACCTCCTGGAGAAGGACAAACTTGAAGAAATTTGACAGCCCTTATGGGGATGAAATTCAGGTCACGTTTTCATTGCGGCAACCTAATAACACACTGCTGAACTCTGCCGTGGAATTTCCAACTTGAGTTCGCAGGCCATTTTGGGACAGTAACAACAGCTTAGCTCAACCTTAGTTAAACACGTTAGTTAAACATGTTTCACAATCAGAAAGACCAACCCAATGGAAAGGGGACACAAGAGGTGCAATGACAGAGGGACCAGAGCAACAGAAAACAATCTTTTCCCCTTCCCTTATAACACCTCCCTCATCTCCACAGATCTAGGCTCACAGGGGAAAACTCCACCAGGGAGGGATCTCCAGAAAGAGCTCCTTCCCCAGGGGCAGTCAGCCCTTCATTGGGGTCTAAGAGAGGTGCAGCCAGGCTCCACCCCTTCCAGTCACACAGCTGAACTGCCTTCACCTGTGCTCCCAGGGCTGACCCAGTCCTTTCCCCAGGGGCTCCATCAGTGGCTCAGGCTGTGACTCAACAGTTCCCACACAACAGGCTAGAATTTTTGACAACAGTGCCATTAGAATTCAGATATAGGAATGCTGTGCAGAATGGATCCCACTTTTAACATCAGAATAACAAGTGCACACGTACCTGTGAAAGTTGAAAGGACTGCTCTGAGGTTTAAGGGGAGCACCCAGATATGACGTCAGAATAGGAAAGCAGGTGCAACGCCTTTAAGGCAACACATCACTTAGGGAAACATGTTCATGTGGCAGCTCATGACGAGAGGAATGTGAACTGAAGCAAAATAACCCCTGGTAGAGCTGAATAGTTAGCCACAATGAAGCCCACACAGTATGGAAGCAGGCTAGCATGAAGATGTAGAACAGCCATGGAGAACAAGAAGTTATCTGCGTGAAGTACGTCCATGTACCATCTGCATGGTAACTTGTTATGCAGTGGTTTGACCAATCTGACAAGGTTCACAATCATTTCGTTACCTTTCTAACACTGACCACTCCTGCACTAAGCAAAGAATATTTGCACAAAGTGTTGCAGAGCAGTGTGCTCTCAAAACACCGCTTCCCACTCAAAACACTCACATGGATACGCCACTGCTTGCTGCTCTCGTTGCACAACCTTTACTTTCTGTGTCCATAATCCACAGAGGGAACATTCCAACAGCTGGCTGGACACTTTGTTCTGTTTTTACATTAAAGTGAACTAGTGATATTGAAATAATAATTACCTCTCGTCGTCCAGCTTTCTGAAATTTTGCTGCACCCTAATTATTAGTTTTAGGATTTGCCTTAAACACCACCACCAACAAAAGAAGATTGTAACAGTGACAAGAAAGCAGTACTGTTCACACTATTAAACAAACAAACTGGAATATTCAGCTCCTGTAGATTTCTAAGAGATGCTCAAAGCCTATGACATGTCTTAAAAAACACAACACCAGTACAGGTTTTGCTGTTATGTCAGTACAGCAATCAAGTGGTTTTCCTCCCCTGTTCACGTGAACACGGAAAACAGAGAACACTGAACTTCTGCACACTTAAGACCACACTGAAACACAGGAAAGCAACTCACATTCACTCTGTGTCCACCACTGCCATACCTGGTTCATTTTACTCCAAGTAGAACACTGACTCATTTCTACAACACAGAACCCCAGAACAGCCTAGGCTGGAAGTGACCTTAAAGATCACTCAGTTCCAACTCCTGAGATGGGGATGGAACTAGACTGAGTTGCCCATTTGTGCAGTTATAATTAGTTATGCTAGCTAGGAATAAAAACCATACACAGGTCCATGACAGCTAAATTGAAGTAAGTTCACTGATACATACACAGAAGATAAAGCAGCCAGACACTGGTCACAGTTAAGGAAGGCAGGAACAACAGGTAGTAATGATGGTTCCCAACACCTACATTCGAGTCAAGGAAGAAGAAAAAAACCAGCATGACATTTTAAGAGTTTTGCAGTACTTGTATTTCTCCTCCACTTTACAGGAAAAAGAAGAATCTAAAGCACTTCCTACTATTACCTCTGCTGTCCTCAAGACATTTTGACAAAGCTGATCTCTCTCAACTTTCTCCTGTAAGCCATTTCAGTTTATATAATAGAATCAGTTCTGGTAAAGTCAGCCAGCATTTGTCTCTTCTTTAGAGCACATCCCTGTTAGCTGGACGGGGACTCATTATGCTAACACAGCTCTGCCCATGCACTGCACAGTTGTCTTGGAAGACTGAAAAATCTGTACTGTTCAATTTCATTGCTTCACCTTGATGTGTCCTAAAACTGCTAGCTCTTAAAAAAACAGATTTCTATCAGATAAGACTCTTGGGCAACTCTCAGTAACCCCTGCAGTCTCCACAGTGTGCTCTTGCATCAGGTTTGCTCTTTAAGTAGATAAATGTTATTTCTGCAACATCTCTTAAGGCATGAAATTTTCAGCTTTGATAAAGCAAAGACTCTTACCTGTGCACTGTGCAATCCACAGAGAATGCTGATCATATCTGGCTACACATGAATCACAAGGAACGCAGTGCACAGATCTCAAAGGCTTCCTTACCTGTTTGAGCACAAAGGAAAGGAATACAGTCAGAGTAAAAGCAGCTGCTTTGACCAAAGCTCAGAGCATCACCTCCTGGCACTAGCATATTTTATAACTATTAGTATATAGCGGGCCTCCAAAACAGAACACAGATGAGAAGTTTTCTAAATCTTACAAAAAAAAAAGAAAGAAAAAGATGGAATTTCTATTGTTTTTTTTAAATCAAGAATGAAACCCAACGATCTGAAAACTGCTTTGTGACCAGAAGTGAGAAAATGAAATCTAGCCCAGAACAAGCAGCGTATGGAGCACTCGCATGACAAGGAGAAAAACAGGTATTGTACTGAACTACTACTGACTGAAAAACAGGTTTCAAAAAAGCAAAGGAATATCAAAACCTTACTTACAAGACATGACGTGCAGAATGTTCTGAAGTCCAAGCACCCTGCTTCTGCTAGAGCTGCAATGTTCTGAAAGACAGAACAGTTTCTGCGTGCACTTGGATCACGTTTTATGGGACCTATGAAGATTGGTACGTGAGGCCTTTTGCAGACACTGAGCACTTGGAGTGCTGAGCAACAACACGTGGAAATACCTGCGGTTCTGGAACAGAGAAAAGGGCCACAAGAAGGCAAGGACTCGTGCAACCTCACTCACATTGAATTATTTAGGAAAGCAGCCCTCCCCCACACAGTCAGCCAGACTTCAAAAGGGATGAGGACAGAAACTTTTTCAACACCATTGCAAAAAGACTGGTAAGTATTGCCTATCTTGCCCTGATAAGCACTCAGTGCTTCTTTGTGGGCACCAGATAGCCAATATTCACCAGTTCTGTGGCCACAATGTCAAAAAAGTTAAAATTGCAGTTTAATCTCCCTGGCAAGCAGTAGAAACATAACCACGTGGAGAACAAAAGGAGACTGTAAACCACACGGTGTCACTAGCTTAAAGGAGCAAACAAGTAACCTCCTACTGACTGGCAGTGCATTTCCTTTTTCTGTCGTTGTAAAACACAGCGAGAAAATACTGAATATCTGAAGATGCTCATCATTGCTAGCCTTCAGTACGGACAACCTTAGGAAAGCACTGTACCTCCTTCTCACCAGAGACAGCTAGAACAAAAACCTTACAAGAGTGTTATTTATTAAGTGAAGTATCTGTGACTTTATGGTTTATAGGTTATAGCAAAGGCACCAGGCCATACCATGCTTGGCTGAAGCTCATATTCCAATGAGAAGACCGAGGCCAGGAAGCAACAGCAAGGAGCTGAAGATAAACCCACAGCAGGTTGGGTTTATCATCCAACAACCTACGCTGCTTGATGATACAACTAAAATCTCAAAGATACATTTCATGATAAATGAGTCAATCAGAAGTGCAACCATGGTGCAGTTTGTCAGCTTACCTCTTTTTTGTCTTTTTCTGAAGACTTAATATATCCAGGATCAGTCCTCCGGGCTTTATAGAAAAAATAAAGAAGACTCAGTAGGCTGAGCATGACAGGGATCTCAACAATGGCATTGGTCACATGTAACAGTTAGATTAAGGAATATGTTCTCTCATTACGTTTTGCCAAATAAATATTCTACAATCAGAGTGTGGTATTTCACCAGCAAGACACAAAAACTGAAAGAATGGCGTTGACCTCTACAGAGCAAGGGTTTGATAGAAAGAGCAAAACATCACCTCACTAAGCCACAACCCTTAGGAATATTGCTGTGTTCATCATCTCCTGCAGAACGTCTACCTTTAACCCCTACAGTTAGAATTCTTGCTTTTGTTTAATTTAGACGACGCCAAGAAAACCTTAGAACGCCACAAAGCAACAGTTAACAGGATTTTCATGGCAACGACCATACATGTGTATCCCTCACAGGCATTGCATTATAGCTGGTTTTTTAAAAATTCACTCGGTATTCATTAAGCCTCTGTTAAAGCTGTGGAAAGTGAAAGTGCTGTTTCTGCATTGAACACTGAAAAGGGCAACTGATGTAAAGAATTAAGCTGTGACATACCCTTAGAAATAGTTAAATAGCTGATGTGGTAAGTAAGAACACCACATATATATTAGTAACATACTTAGAAACATATTTGTTAGGTGATTCGGTAACTACTTTCTCACAAAGCTGTAATAGATTTTGAATGCTCTAAGCAATATGGGTATAGTATTCTGAGCTAGGAAACACTGTAAGGTTGTTCATTAGACCAGCAGAAGCAAAATACATTTAACAAACTTTAAAGGAGTCGTGCCCTTTACACAAAGCAGAACTGTCCCACTTTGTGGGAATGTTAGGATGCCATAGGCAGGCTCCAAGAGGCTCCCCTCTATCCTCCTTCCGAGCTTATCTCTATGCAAGGACAAACGAATGACCAGAACAATGACCCAGTGTGAAGGGGCACAAATGTTAGGGGGGTAATTAAATAATGGAGGCTATGCCTACGTTTATGTTGTATAACTGACATCTGAAAAGTTACGAGCAAATGTTTGTTATGAAAGCAATTGTTAGAAGTCAATTAATCAATTAAGATATTTGTGTTTGGGCAGCAAAGATCTGTATCTACTTGGTGTTTGTATGATTGTGAAGCCTCGCGAAAGAGTGTGAACCTGCAGCACTCAGCCAGTGAGGAAGCAGTGGAGAAGGAGATCAGTAGTGGCAATAGGGACAAAAGACGTAACGCTGTTCCCTCGGGGCTCTCCTGCTTGCAGGAGGCCGCCACTGCAATTGTGAATAAAATCTGCTTTACCAGAGAAACCGTCCTAGAAAATTATTTGCATATTTCCAACAAAGCAAACCAAAATTGCCGCTCAGAAGCATGCTTTAGCCAGATGCACAGAGGAACTCGTGATACAGAAAAACATCTACTGAGGAGTGTTCTGTGCAGCCTAATTTTACGTATCCGAGCAGCTGCGCATTAGGTGAAAAGGACAAACTCTATTTATTGACACAACAGTATTGCCATTTCCAGGAACACAATTTAGTAACTGCTGTAAGAAATGGGAAATGTGCAAAACAGCTCAGGATACCACTAGGAGGTCTGGGGAACACAGAGGGTGGGAACGGTACATTGAAACTCATGCTATGTTGCAAATACAGAGGGAAAAGTTAAGATAAAGCACATTTATAAACTTCATAAATGGGTATCTCAGCTTCTGTCAGGTGCAGGCATTCAGTAACACCCTCTTTATCATTAAGACCAGCTAACATGCCACCTCAACACCTGTTTTCTCCTCAGATCTCAAGGATCAGAAACTACAATTTTGACCATCTAAAGACACCACATTTCAAAATCATTATGAAAAGTACATATATTTAAATCCTTCACACAATCCTTTCTACAGTACAGCAAAAAAAACCCAAACCAAAAAACCTTCTAAGTGAAGCTGCAGACTCTGAAAAGAACACTGCGTTATGTACCACGTACTGCATCTATTAGAATTAAATACACAGAAAGAGAGAAATCCACAAACCTCACAAACTGGGCCATCCCAACCAGCAGAAAGAGAAGCAGGCATCCTTTCAAAAGCCAAGAATCAGAACTCAAGTTCATTACGTATCCTATGGCCCACATCAGTCAAGCAAGATGCCAGCAGCAGGAACAGCTGTTAAAATGATCACTGTTAAAATATGACAGAATATTCAAGCAGGATTTATTCCAATATATACACTTAATATAAGAACGAATGCTGAGTGACTCAAGATTGGGAACAAAGTGACACATCAAAACACAGGGGATAAGGAGGGAGGGAAAACAACAACGGGGGGATGGAAAGGGGGGAACAAACACCCAAAGAACAGGAAGGTGCTTCTAAAACGTTTCATTTTTGAGTGTCCAGGTTTGGAAGCCTAGAAGATCCTGTTGTCAGAACGGAGGTAAGTTACAGATTATTCTGAACACGGAACGCTGAAACTTTCCTTCCATTAGTGACATTACCTCGTATTTCTCCATCATTCTCAGTAACCTGTCATTCCTTCTGCTTCTCATTCTTCCTTCCTCCATTAACATATAAACGATGAAGCGATTCTGAGTTCGAATTGCAAGGTCAAGCGCTGTCTCTCCCTTTAACAACAAAGTTCATTTGGTTAGGCACTTAACACATCAATGTCTTCCTTTGTAACAGGCACAAGAAATGAACTGAACTAAAACAAGAACTTACTGGCCTCTTCCCCAAACCCACCATTTTTCTTTAAGGCAAAGTAAACTCGCAGTTCTAACACGCTTCATCCGGTGCTCTGTAGTTCTAAAGACTGATAGTTGCAATCAACTGCGTGCACACGAATCACTTGCTGAACTGTCTCTCCTAAGCTGAAACACTAAACAGCCTTTCAGAACATGACAAGCTTACTGAATATGATCCCTTACTGAAAGGGAGTTTTCTTGTTTATGTTAACTTTTTAAAACCAAACAGTAACATTCTAGGAGTCATATATTAAAAGAAAAGCAAAACAACTAGCAGATGGAAAAGCCGTGCAGCTGAACACACAAACCAGAATCACTGCACTATACAAGCATCTCTATGGGAATCAACAGTTTCAACGTTAATGGTTCTTCCTGCCAGATTTTACAAGTCTTAGGACTCAGACTTTCACGTGACGTGCACTTCTGAGTGTGAGCCCTTGAGAAAGGGCTCAGGATAGAGAACTGTCTGCAGAGGTCAGGGGATAAGCCAGCAAGATTTCTCAAATACAGCTGTGAAGGAGATCACAAGTTACCTTTCCAAACTGATTTTTCTAAAATGATGATTCAAGTCTCAGTACAACATTGTGGCTTTCTGAGCAGCAGTCACACGTGGCAGCTGGATAAAAAGTCTTCCACCGGCCTCTTG